GAAGGAGGCCCACCCTGTGGGATCTTATCGGCCATTGGGAGGTGTATGGCAGTAGCCTCTCGCAGATAGGCTGGTCCTAAGCCATGTAGGGTTTTAAAGGTAATAACCAACACCTTGAATTGCGTCCGGAGACTAATTGGCAGCCAGTGCAGCTCGCAGAAGACAGGTGTAATATGGGTACACCCAATATCACTGCATGACTGCATTCTGGACTAGCTGTAGTCTCCGAACACTTTTCAAGGGTAGCCCCATGTAGAGCGCATTGCAATAATCGAGCCTTGAGGTGACAAGGGCCTGAGAGACAGATGGTGATTCAGAGCTAAACAGTTGTAAGCACAAATATTTTCTATGTTAAAATAACATATAATTCATAAAGTCTTACTCAACAACATGACTACAATTATGTAAAACAAAATGTGAACAGTATTTATATATTGTATGCATTATTACTCATAAAACTGCACTATGTACTACTATATAATATGAAAAGGTACAAATGCATTAAGTATTATCTTTTTACAGTAGGATTTCAATAGTCATTTAATTTTTAAAAGATAACATTTAATTATTTCCAATTTAACACAATGCAATACTTATTTTTTAAGAATATGCAGGGCACATTTCCTCCCAGTCTAAAATTTGCATGCAAGACTCAGGTCCATAAATAGGCAGCGTATACATACTAGAAAAAGAATGAAAACTCTGCAAACTTCCCTCAAAAGCACATTTTGAAGTGTATCAGCTTGGGAAGTTGCATTTGGAGGAGGTTCAAAGAGAATACCCATGTTCTGCATAATAACCTGTCATGCTGCTTTATCACAGGCAGATAAGTAAAAACTCTAATCTCACATGATTCTTCCAAAGAAGGACCATGTTTAAGGCTCTCCTTAGCGTACCAAGTTAGTTTTCTTAAGATGAAAATGGAGACTTTATGTATTATCCATATTATAGCTGGAATAAACCTGCTGAGCTATAGTAAATTGATTTTAGTATAATATTTTGGCAAAATAATCAAACTTACCTCTTTCTGGCTGCATATTTTTGGCCAAAATTTCAGCAATCCTCTGATAACCTGGGTTGCAAAAATAAAAACTCATCAGAGCATATCTATGAAAACAGATACTTGAATGGTGATATGGCTGCCTTTAGATTTGCTAAATTCAATCATTTTATTCAATGTATTTGACACAGGTGTATCTTCAAAAATGGATTTTGTTCCGAATTATTGGATTCACTGATCACATTAAACCATCATAGGTTAACAATGATTTCTTGAATTTAAGGATAACTGACGGGATTTATACAACAAATGCAGACAAACATATCATTTTAGGGCTCAGTCAGACATAATAACTGCATTAACATTTAAAAAAATAAAATGCCTACATTTTCTCTACAACAGGAGTCCCCTTTTGGCTGTTAGGAACTAGACCACAGCTGGTCTTGACCAGTAGTCAAAACCAAAACCATTCCCCCCCCCACCTCAGTCCGTGGAAAAATTTTCTTAGGTGAAACCGGTCCCTGGTGCCAAAATGTTTCAGGACCTCTGCTCTAGAATTTCTATCACCTGTCCCTTTTCCTATTTAAGTCTATTTATCAATCATTCCTTAAATAGGCTTTTCAGTGGAAAATAAAATCCATTAAAAAAGACTATTAAGTACTATTATTCATGTGTAACTGCAGAGTATTTTCACTTTAAAAGACTCCATCCCTTCAATGTTTCAACTGCTAAAGAATAGAGACATATTTTGTGTCACAGCCTTATCATTTGCTCTGTAGGACTGTGGAAAGGGGACATGGGTTCTAAAAATATTTAATAAAATGTTTAATAAAAGTAAATGGCAGTTTGAAAGCTTCTAAGCAATTTTAATGAACCTTTAATTACTTGAAATAAACTACTGCACACAACTGGACTTTTTAATAAACATGCATATGATTAATCAATTCTACTTTATAATAATATATTTAAAATGCTCAGGTGTTGTGTATGTTTATACAATTGCAATCTTCTCTTTTGTTATGTATGGTCACAATCTTTGTCCAACCAGTTCTCAGAGTTACAAACCACAGAATTCAATTTCATTTACATTTTACATTATTTTCTCCTGATTCAAACTGATGATACATGATATCATTTGGTGAAGGCTATGAATACTTTGTTCTAAAATTGCTGGTACAATATTTATTTACAATACTCAGCTTTTCCCCTTACCCTGTTATTACATTTTATTTTATCAGCATTCTAAAGCAAGGGGCCACTTCTGGTAAATAGCTGTCCAATTATATATTTAAACAATTTTAAATTTTGAATGTATATCTGTTGTATTAATATAACAAACTATATACTGGTAATTACTGCAGTTATAAATTATTGGATAAGTAGATTCATTATGACAACACAAGGAACGAACAGACTGGTTTTAGAAATATCTGTAGAGTTAAAACACATTTCATAAACAGTAGTTGAAAGCCAATGACTTGCTTTAGAAGCAAAGCACTTCTAAACTCAAACAAATGAAGATACCAGGACTCTGGTCAGGGTTTGCCATGGACACTAAGCAAGTGTCTTGTCTTAATTCCTGGGGCACATGTATGGAAAAGTCTTCCATTCTTATTCTATTGATACACTGTAAATAACAGCAGGATGTTCTTTATAGGCTACATGTGAATTATGATTTCTTGCTGAAAACTAGTTTCTGAACCACATTGGCGCAGCGGTTTGAATAATCATCATTATTTGCTAGATCTAAGTTTGAGCTATATTGCAAAAGTTCAGAAAGAGACAAAAACAACAATACTTACCGGCTCTGTTAATGCCATATCTTTTTCCAAGAACTGAACAACACAGTACGCCAGCTTAAAAAAAAGTTTTTAAAAATTCATAGTTCATTACAGGATTATTAAATTCTCATATATATTTTTTTATAAAAAAGATTATCTGTAACATATTATTTGAATGACCGTCTGTCATTCATATGTATGATTTTGTGTCTGCACTGAGCCTCTTTTGGAAGATTATAGACTATACAAATATTTGATGGGTGCCCCATCTTCTCTGAATACTAAGCATATTTGGACATAAATCCTAACTTTTTTTTAATTTCAAAGACTGGTATAACAATCCCTTTAATGAAGAGAAAAAGTGATGTCACCGATTGTTTGAATTCACAGTACACCTCTTTAATGTTTTATACATTAGATATTAAAGTAACATTTTAAATCTTTAGTTTTGAAAAATAAAGACTCTTATAAGATCATGTAGCACATGATCACAATGAATGCCACAAACTCAGTTGCCAAGTACAAAGAGAACACTTTCCCAAGTGCCACACGCAGATGTATCATCAGACAACCCTCAGAAGGCAGATGATTACTATTTAATGTTATTGGTTAGTACCCTGTTTAACTCTTCTATCAAACACCCTTAGGAAGCAGAGATTTCAAACTATGTCCATAGAAGAATGCAGGTAAGCTATTTTTAAAATTACAGCATACAAACACTAACAGATAATAAATTCAAAGGTACAAGTAGTTGAAGAAAAATGTTTATTTATTTTACAATATTGGTTCATAAAAACTTTAGCAGTGTGCAAATAAATACTCATTCTGATTTTCCACAGTGTACCGGTATTCAAGTTATGTATTTTTAAATAATTACCTCTGGCCCTAAAAGACTCAACTTGGGCAATTAAATAAGTATAACTACAATATTACTTGAGCTTCAACATGTAATATTTTATTTGTTCAGATCAACATACCTGTGCATGAAATAAAGCTAATCCCTTTGCAGTATGCATGGGAATAAGAATCTTCAGAAGGAATTGTTTATGTTCAGCTTTCAGTGGCAATGCAAAACCATTGATAATACTGAGGGGGAGAAACAAATTCAACATGAAAACTTATTACAGTATAGCAATACATATAATAAATGTGTATTATTAAGTTTATGTTTTATTATGAAGATTTTGAACAACACTATTCCTATAAATACATAAAACAAGACCAGCTCTATTTTCCACAGGGTAGTAAGGACCAGTTACTTTTCGAACCTTGTTGATGAAATTAGTGGCTACAAATAAGCAAATCCTAGATGCTGCTTGTTTGTATCCACTAATTTGGCTGCTTGGTTCCCTATATGAGCACCAACTGCAGATTCCACCAACTGAGAAAAAAGTGCTTTAAGTAGGACAGATTCAGTACTCCAACTGGCAGTAACTCGAGGTCATTTGTAAGACTTTCACTGTATGAAAAAGTTTACAACTCAAAAAAACACATTTGGAACTGCAGGAAAATTATAATTGTTCCATTAAATGTAAAATTAATTACATGCAGTTTATGGATCTCATAGAATATTTCCTTTTCTTTCCTCCCCTTCTTTTCTGGTCAAATTATCAAATCCTGTTTGAAATAAAAGGGGAAAGGAAGATATCAGACTAGCAGTATCTGTCCTATAGGTAATCCTCGTCTAAGGACCAGTTGCTTAACGAACAGTTGAAATTACAACAACACCCCAAAAGTTATTATGACCTAGATGAAATGTTCTGGTATCCACCCCTTCTCACACGATCATGTAATTGCATTTTGGACACTTGGCAACCAGCCCTCATTTATGTCCATTTGCAGCATCGCATAGTCACATGTCCACAATGTACTAGTTTCTTATAGGAAATCAGGCTTTACTTCTGGTTTCCAGCACTCACCCATTGCAAACAATGGGCTTGTTTTATATGACTGCTGCAAAAAAAAAGTCATAAAATCAGAATGGCCATGTGATGACCTGTTAAAAACTAGCTCAACTTAAAACTATAATTGTGGGCTCAATTACAGTTATTGAGTTGAGAACTATCTACATTGCAGACACATATTGTGACATTGCATACTGTGTAACATACTTTAATTATTTATTTGTAGATGATGTCCCCATATAGCAATTCTGCAAGTCATCTGAACTTCACAGTACAGCTCTTTAAGGTTTTGTAGAAGCATATTTACTCAAGCGCCTGATTTTCTAAGACCAGTACCAATGTCCACATGGAATCTTCTTGCAATATTTTTGGTACCTTAACTCCAAGAGCTCATTCCAGTTACAGCATCTTTATCTCCCCGCAGGCCTGATAACAATTTTGTTGGTGATGATAACTGTAACCATTGGTTAAAAAAACAGATGCAAACCTTGGTCCTTCCTAACTGCGACGAAGAAATCAACCTACCTTCCAAGTATCTCAAGTAGTTCAGCAACACCATTGAAATGTTCTGTTTCATATATAAACCTGTTGAAAAAATTGCAGTTAATATTTCACCAAACAGTGAAGAATAAAATAAAATTAAATATATCCACATGATAGCTGAGGCAGTTGTGGGATTCAATTTTTTTTTACTACTGGTTCTGTGGGCATGGCTTGGTGGGCATGGCTTGGCTTGGCAGGCGTGGCAGGAGAAGGATACTGTAAAATTTCCAGTCTCTCCCCACTGTAGGACAAGGATACTGTAAAATCTCCATTTCCACCCAACTCAAAAGGAAGGTTACTGCTAAATCCCCATTTCCTCCCAATCAGCTGGGACTCAGGAGGCAAAGAATAGATGGGGGTAGAGCCAGTCAGAGGTGGTATTTACCAATTTTCCGAACTACTCAAAATTTCCAGTACCGATTCTGCAGAACTGGTCAGAACCTGCTGAATACTACCTCTGAGTTGAGGGGTTACTATTTTTCCTGAAAACTATTAGCAGAATGCACCTTCCATTTGATGTAAGAAATTTGCTTTAAAATAGATATTCACATTATGGGTAAGATCCAAAGTAGATCACAACAAACCTCTAAAACAGAAAGGGGTAACCTACAGCCCACGAATGGCCTCAAACAGCCCCACCCAGAGGTCCCACAGAAACCAGGCATAAAAAGGATGCTTTAACCTTCTGAATCATTTACAACCTTTAGACCTAAAAACCCTCAAGTACCGTAATTAAGCCAATTTGTCCTGTGGGAGGGTTGTGGGCAAGCTAATTACCCAAAGCCTTTCAGTAGTTTAACTCCAAATATGTTATTAGTAGATTAAGAACAAGTTGTAGGTTATTAATTAAAGTACAAATTAAATATATACAAAAGTTGGTAGTAAGATTGTAAATAGTATATATTATACCTGAGAAAAATATTGTTGATTTGTTTCCTGATGAAAGCTCTTAATCCAAGGAATTTGCCATAAATTCGATGAAGTACTGTTTTTAGAAAGTCACGTTCTCGTGGATCTTCACTGTCAAAAAGCTCCAACAGCTATTAATAAAGTATTGTTTATTACTTCACTAAGCACTAATTGGTATACAAAAGTTCAACCAAATTTGTTCCACACCTTCCCACCTAAACCTAAGGTAAGTTATCTTTGCCATAATTTTAAAAAATCACATCATTGTAATTCAGAGCAACAGTTCAATAGTGGCAAACTTACATGTCTTACAGATTACTATTCTATTTCTCCCTCTAACAATATAAAGAATGCTAGCTTGAACTCTGATTTGTGGGAAACTACTTATGAGGGCACTCTAGCTGACAATCTGTGCTTCTTTTGAAACACCCCAAATTGTGCTGCAATGTTTGGAACTTATTCTTCAACAGTAGTTAGAAGGGAAATAAGTGCACACTCTCCAACTTTGGGAGTGGGGTGGTATGGGCAGGGGGTTGGACTAGAAGACCTCCAAATTCCCATCCAACCCTATGATTCTATAAACTTTGCAACTGTATGGGAAGGAAGATATATAACTGCTTTGCAACTCAAAAGGAATATCTTCAAAAAAGGTCATTTCTTCCCTTTCTATAGTATATAAATATGCTTGTCTAAAAATATTTCTGCGAAATAAAATGAACCTTCTATCCATAAAAGAAACATTTACATTAAAAAAAATAATCTAAGCTATTTACCTGCTGTACAAATTTCTGGTCAATATGTCGTTTCGCAATGCTAGGTTGGAAATCAGGACTTTCTAAAAATCGTAGTAAAAATTCATACACCAGCTATAAAAGAATATAATAAATGTTGTAAAAACATTTTGACATGTAATACATTTCACATATATTAGTAAAGCCCATTAGACGATAACAAAAATCCATTTCAATAAAATTCAGCATGCCATATTAGCATGCCATATTAACTAGCATATTAACTGTTCAGGCTCTTAAAACCACATATTCCTACTCCATTACTATAATCTTTAAGCTGCAGGAATGACTTCTCTCAAGTCTGGTGCAGAAAATAGTTAAGAAATCAGATGTGCTCTGAAGTGTCCATTATATTTTCTCCTATATGATCTTTTGCATTTTTATTCTCTCCCTATTCATGACGTAGCCAATTCTTCCTTTTTTTTAGTGCTATTTTTATTATAAGTGCACCAGGTTTAACACTAACCATCTTTGAACAGAGTTCAAAGTAAAGTATCTTTGAACAGAATTCATAAAGAGTTTTAAAAACACTTTTTAAAAAAGATTAATTTCTGGGGGTAGTTTTATGCTTAATGTTTGCAGTTGTTTTCAGACAATTAGACAATTTCAGACAATTTCTTAAAGCCTTTCTTTAAAGCATGCTGTCTGGGGGGTGGGGGGGAATCTAGGGTTGAAGTCCATATATCTTAAAGCAGCTTAGGTTGAGTAACAAAAAGAAACAAAAGAAGGTAGGAATAGGAATAAGTTTATTTATAGGCTGCCCTTTTCCCTGAGGGGACTCAGGGCGGCTAACAACTTATAGGGAGGGGATACAAACAATAACATATAACATAACACATAATTAAAAATAAACAACATTCATTCAGCATTCGGGTGGGGGCGAATCAAATCTTTACCCCCAGGCCTGGCGGGATAGCCAGCTCTTGAGGGCTGCGCGGAAGGTCTGAAGGGTGGTGAGGGTACGAATGGCAGTTAATATACTGGACCTGGAGGACACCTACAGTATCTTGTAACACTTAAAAACAACCTTGAATTAAGGAGAAACTTCCTAATAGTAAGAACAATTAACCAGTGGAACAGCTGGCCTCCAGAGGTTTTGGGTTCTTCAACACTGAATGTTTTAAAGAAGCGACTGGACAGTCACTTGTCTGAAATGGTATAGGTTCTCCTGCTTCAGCAGGGGTAGAAGATCTCCAAG